AACCCCAGGGGGGCTGGCACTGCTTTTCCCCCATCCCCATAGGCACTGGGATGTCTCCGCTACCCTCCCCAGCTGATTCTCCACCCCTTGGGCCAGATGCGGAGCGGTTCTCGGGGCCGCGTAGGGATGCGCTGGGGGTTTACCTGGTAGCCGAATTGGTTGCACGGGAAGCCCAGCACAACCAGCCGCCGGGGGTAGCGGGCCTGCAGCTGGTTGAGCTGGGTGTAGTCCCGCACGGTGGTGCCTCAGAGCGATGCCACGTTCTCAATGAGGACCACACGGCCCCGAAAGTTGTTGAAATCCACCTTCTCCCCTTGCAAGGAGGTGGCGCTGAGGTCGTAGAAGGACTTGGCGATGGGCACGCTCATGGCTGCGGGCGGCGCTCTGCGGCCCGCGCGCGCCCGCCACCGCCGTCTTAAGGGCTGCGCCCCGCTCACGTGACGTCCCCGCTCCAAAGGTCTCCTTGTCCCGGTGCGACTTGGCGGAAAGAGGAGCCGGCCCGCCCGCTGGCGCGGGCCCAACGTAAGGAGAAAGGAGGATGCGGAGGAGGACCGCGGTGGCCCACAGCCAAGGCCATGCTCTACCCGCCTCAATAATTGATGCCACCCGCCCGGGTGTCATGGAACTTGGCTGTTCCCTCTGCAGGATGCAGGACGCCTCGGGGGGCATTAGCCTGGGGCTTGGTGGCTGCAGCCCAGCTTCTTCCAGAGGCCTGGAAACACCAGCTTGGAAATAACAAGACTTTGGGTGCAGGCACTTGGCAGGGGTGGAGGATGTGGTTGGCCTGGGGGGCTCCAATGCTTTTCCTTCCCTGCGCTGGTGCTCACCGCTTGCTTTGGCCTCTCTCCCATGCCCTTCCCTGGCCACCAGCGTGCGCTTGCAGCCGCTGACTGACTGCCTTCCTGGTGCTGCCTCCCACCCTGGTGCCCACTGCTGCCTTGGTGCCCACCACCATGCCATACTGACCTGCCCCAGTGCCCACCACCACCCCCTGCCCAGTGCTGCCTCGGTGCCCATTGCCACCGAGGTGCCCACCACCATCCTGGTGTCTGCTGCTGCCTTGGTGTCTCCCTCTGTCCCATACCCACTTGTCCTTTGCCCACCACCATCCCCTGTCCAGTGCTGCCTCGGTGCCCATCACCACCCAAGTGTCCTCTCCTGCTCCAATGCCTCTCCCCAGGCTCCTGCAGCTCCTTGGGGCTGCTCCCTTGGATCCGGGTTGAGCCCAGAGTCTGGGCGGTCACAGCATCCTCCACGGACCTGTGCCCAAGCCGGGAAAGGGGACACCGACCCAGCAGCCCTTGGAGCTGCCTGAA